AAAGTTTCAGAATTTTCAAAGACCATAAAGAGTTATACTTAATCAATAAAGAGCTATACTACGGTCATAACGAGTTGTACTTTGGCATAACGAGTTATACTTTCATGATAAGGTGCTACACTTTATTGTAAAGAGCTATATTTTTCTAAAAGATAAAAAATTAAGAGTGGACGTCTCGTCGATATGAATAATTGATCAAAAAACACATTGTATACATCATCACGCATTTACATTGCTCAGAAAAAACTGATTTGATATATTCCATAAAGTTTTAGAATTTTTAGAGACCATAAAGAGCTATACTTTATCAATAAAGAACTATACTACGGTCATAAAAAACTATACTTTGACATAAAAAGCTATACTTTCATGATAAGGTGTCACACTTTACTGTAAAGAGCTATACTTTTCCAAAAACTAGAAAACTAAGAGTGGACCTCTCATTGACATGAATAATTGATCAAATAACACATTGTATATATCATCATATGTTTACATTGCTCAGAAAAAACTGATTTGATATACTCAACAAAGTTTCAGAATTTTCAAAGACCATAAAGAGTTATACTTTATCAATGAAGAGTTATACTACGGTCATAAAGAGCTATACTTTGATATATAGGGCTATACTTTCATGATAAGGTGCTACATTTTACTATAATGAAGTATACTTTTCTAAAAACTAGAAAATAAATTAAGCACATAGCTTTGAACAAAGCTGGGATTTGAACAAAGCTGCGATTTAACCAAGAAGTGGTCAATGAATTATAGAACCTTTAGAGCATCATTCATATCTATCAACCATTAAACAATCAAGTACATAGCATTAAACTGGTGTACAACAATTCCAAGATCAATAGATAATTGCATCAAGGAGGTTGAATGAAAATAAATCAAAATCACCACTACAAAATCAACACAACATGAAACATCAAGTACACAGTTCTGAAACAATGCAATTTCAACAATAAGAACACAATTACAGCACGAAACAATAATTACACATCACCACTACAAAAATTAACACACTATGCAACACAACATACAACTTCAAATAACAAAGTTAACTGGACATTTTATATTTATTGTCCAAAATCACCACTTCCCAAAACCGCCGCTACAAAATCAACACAAAATAAAATAGTCAAGTACACATATCTAAACTCCTACACAACTTCAACAATAAGGGCATCCTAGACATATATTCGGAGTCTACTTCCTCGGTAAAAGCATTTTCTAGTAGATTTTTTAATTCATTCGAGATAAATGCAATAGCGATCTTTGCTCTTAGAAGTTCATAATCGTTCTGATGAATGAATAGAGTTGTGCCATTGATGATGGATTATATGTATCTCATCATGACAATGTCACAATCTAAGCTCATGCACAAACAAATACCACAATCAATGATTACATAATAAAATAATGATATTTCAAAAAAACTACACTAATACATTTTAAGTTATGGTCATACCCATCCTGTTGAGGAACTTGTTGGGTTTCTATACTATACCATCCATATTTCCTATTTTTCATTCATCATTAATGCAAGCAGGGAAATTGTTCATAATATATACACCTCTGCACGTTCCCACTAACCAACAGCAATTATGTTCATAATGTACATATAATTATATGCGTATAATTGTCTTTTAAAAAAACTAAATGAAGAGTACAACATAAAGAAAGGGATAACAACAACTCAAAATGCTTAATTACATCCGTTCCAAAAATTATCAGTAAACTTGTGTATTTATTTACACATTGTTTGAGCTTTATATCTCGAAAGAAAAACTAGTTATATTACCAATATATTATACTTTACACGGTATAAATGTTAACCAAATACAAAAGAAACTAAAACACTACAGAAAGTTTATGTACACTTATTTGTAATATTTGATGCATGTCTTAGAATAATTTTTTTCTATTCCATATAGACCTCTGTTCTAGCTCTACATATTCTTTTTACATAATTGTCATTCTTTCTTTAACAGTTTTTCTGTGAATCTAATCACCGTTGTTTCATAACTACTTCTTGCCTAAATATAGTCTTTTTTGACAAGTATATAATATGCTCTGTTTTGAAATGTAAGAAAATCATTCTAATATTAACAAATCTAAAATATTGTATATAATAGTATACGGCAACGGCAACATGATTACCTAAAAACACAATAAATAAATGACAACGAGTCTTCCAATTCAATACAACAAGTCAATCTTTCACAAGGGAACCAAGCATTCAAAGAAATTAATAAAATTCATGAGATGACAATAATTTTAGAGAAATAAAATTTACTTACTTTGTAGCTTTAGTCTTTGATTGGGAAGAACCACTCGATTTGCAAATAAAGATTTTTTTTTAAATTATTTCACAAATGAGAAACATCATTAAACAAATGTGGTTTACTTGAGAAATTTGGCAAGTTTGAATATTTTTTCAAATCATAACAAAATTTTACCAAATGGCCAAATCTACCACAAAGATCACATTTAAAAATATGTGATTTACTAGAAACATTTGGCAAATTAGAATTCTTTTTCAAATCAAAGCAAAACTTTGTCAAATGGTCAGAACGATCACAATAATCACATTTAAACACATGAGCATGCTTATGATGAACATGATGAGTATGTGCATGTGTATGTGATGAAGAAGCCTTATGAGATGCACAAGAAGCATTGATATTAGTATTTTTAGATTTTTGTGCATCATAGCAAAATTTAGCTAGATGGCCTTTTCGGCCACAAGTGAAACATTTGTAAATTTTGCTATATATGTGTGCATGGTGTATGGGATGTCTAGATGTAGTAGCATGAGACTTAGCACACATATCCATATATGTGTGCATGGTGTATGGGATGTCTAGATGTAGTAGCATGAGACTTAGCACACATATCCATAAGCTTCTTATGATTATTAATGCATATTTTCAAAGTTGAATCTAAAGATGAAATGCGTTTATTATTCAAATCTTCATTATTAGGCACATATGCACTTTTATTAGAAGTAAAACATAAATAGTCATTTATAAAAGAAGCAGTATTATTTTTTATGTTCTCAACTTCTAACATGGCATTATTTTTGTCATGAATCAAGTTAGCAATATCTAATTTCAAATTTTTATTTTCCAAATTTAACATATCATTGTTTACCTTAAGAGCATCATTTTCTTGAGTAATGATATCAAATTTGGAAGCTAACTTCTCATGATCGGATTTTAAACCTTTATGCTTGTTTTGTAAATCAATAAAATTTTTATGCAATTTGTTATAGGCATGCAATAAATTTTCACTAGCACAGGCGAGTTTATCAAAAGATAAATCATTATCTGAATCTGAATCGCTTACTACACAAGAGTCATCCTCTTGTGATCGTGTGCATGATGCTCCACATGAACTTAAAGAAGAATCCTCCAAAGCTTGTCGGATTACCTCCAAGTCCCCTTGATGTGCTTCAATAAATTTCCAAAGTTTGTAAGCACTATCAAAATGAACAAATTTGTTAGAAAAGGATGAGTCAAAAGCATTAAGCAAAAATTCTAACAAAAACTTGTTCATTGTAAACATTTTATGATCATGTTTGTTCCACTTGGATTTCTCCGAAGTGGACACAATGTAAGCATCATCTATAATTTTCCATAAATCGAAGTGTCTAGATCGAACAAAAAGTTTAAATCTAACACACCATTGGGCATAAGGAAAATTATCTAATCTAGGAACAATATTGATGGCATAACCTAAACAAAGTACACCGTACATATCCATAATATATATATTTGTGCAAGCAAGATACAAATGAAATCAAAAATTGGATTAGCACAAAAAAGATAACTTGGATCTTTAACTCAATGCGATTAGACCTTAAATCAAAGAACACCAAGCTCTGATACTAATGTTAGACCCTAAGGTCGCTATGAAAGAACCCTAGAGGGGGGTAAATATGGTCTTATGCTAATCTAATCTGATTTTATACCAATTAAAACTAATTAACAAATATATCCTAGCAAGTATGATATGCTACAAGATATGTGCAAGGATATACAATATAAACAAGGGTAAACAATATGATCATGCAACAATGGCGATATAACAATATGCATGAATAAATGCACCAATACCAAACCCAAATACAAGGAAATGATCACGGAGCTCGGACCTTCCGTCCTACGTCTCTGCTCCCCACTCACGGGGAGAATCTACTACACAACCTGGTTTGGAAGGTGGAACTTCTATACACACTAGGTTTTCTAGCTAACCGAAAACTCTACACACTCGGTTATCAAGTCAACCGACAACTCTCACAAATCCTCACAAAATACATACACAAGCTACAACCTCAAGTGTTGGTCCTCACGTATCGACTCCCTCAAGTGCTCGGAATTATCACCTCTCACTAGGCCACCGACGCCACTCCTCTCGGTATCGACTCCGTCCTCACCACACACTCCTCTCGGTGTACAAGTGTATTACAAGTGATCTCACGATAAGCACGCAATACAAATATATTTATTCTCTACAATGAATGAGAACACAATGTAAGCTCATACTCTAAGTCACATAATCCCACAACCCAATTATACAATGTATGCAAATACAATAAGCTCAATGGTTGTGCTAAGTCACATAATCCCACAACCCAATTATACAATGTATGCAAATACAATAAGCTCAATGGTTGTGTGTCACTAGTACAAAGTGGCTCAGCCCCAACGGTTGTAACCGTTGGGGCAAATCATGACCCAAACGGTTATAACCGTTGGGGCTAATAAAACGACCGTTACGGCAAGTCGCGTAGGGGCTAAGTCAGCCCCAACGGTTGCCGAACTTGCCCCAACGGTTCCACCCGTTGGGGCAAACTGTTTGCCCCAACGGTTGGAACCGTTGGTGCATATATTAGCCCCAACGGTTACAACCGTTGGGGCTAATACATGCCCCAACGGTTCCAACCGTTGGGGCAGTTAAATAAATTAAAAAAAAAGAAAATCAACCAAAAATATTATGCACAAATACTGGAGATGATCATCATGCAACAGATTACACACCAGAAACATAGAGAAATCGAAATTGAAAAATCTATCGATTATCTAATTCTAACCATTCTTCGTGATTCTTGCCAAGAGTATCAGATTATAACATCATGTTGAGTTTTCTTCCATACGAGTTTGAGAGGAATGTCTTCTCTCCAAAAGACTAGCTTGAATCTTCACTATCCATTGTCATTCTCAACTCACGAACAATGTATTTGCCCTTCTCTATCGGCTACTTTATTTGAAGTTATCAACTCCAACACGACAACCCATAGCTCCAATTCGTGCACCTACTTAACAAAAGATAAAATATTTTGGATGAATATACCTGTTTTTTGGTGAATATCAGGCATAATGAGATTATTTAAGAATTGCAGGGTATAAATAAGCAGTTATATAAACTAAGAAAATGAGGTTGGTGAATGAATATACCTGTTTTTTGGATGAAGTTGGCTAAGGGGCATCAGTTGGCTTCAGATCCTGAACAATAGACTTGCTCTCCAGATCCCATATCTTCACTCTCTTGAGTGGCAGCACAGAGCCAGTACCTGTTTGGACTGAAGCACAAGGCATGAATATATTTTCACATAATATATCCTTACCAGTTACATTTCAAGCAGTAAAAGAATATAGCAAAAATCTAACACCGACTACCAGTTACAATGAAGTTTTATCTCAAGTTTCGTGGTCAGCTAAGGAATTATTTTGTTTCATGCAGCTGTGTTGAGGAACATTTTCATTTACTATCAAGATGTTTGGAACTTGAAGATTTCACTATTGAATTTTGTAAAAATGGGTATAAACTTTAGCTGGACTATAAATAGAGCCTATATTTTTAGCCAATACTCACATGTCCTTGTTTCTTAATTAAATGTTCTCTCCATTTTGGCCATCTGAGCTGCTTAGCGAAATTTCTAGGTACAAAAGTATATCCTTCCATTACAGAACGTAACTATGCAGAATAAAGAAAGAAAGGCAAATGCCTTACATTAAGGTACATGGACATCTACACAATAAGATGAGAAAATATGCATGAGAAAATATCAAATCCCAAACCTGCCACTACACCAGTTATTTCACCTGAAGACCAAGCTGAAACATGTCCAGCCAGTTCAAAGTTCAAGATGGATCAAACCATTAAAGCAACTATTACCATGTCAAATATGAAAGGCATTGTGTCACCATTTCTCCAAGATGAGACCAGAGCCTATTCATGAGAAGAATAAGTAAGCCAAACCAAAGTAACAGTAAACAGAGAATATCATGTGTAACTTAGAACTAGGATTCTTTCTGACTTGTTTTGAGGGGTGAGAGAGAAGGAACATTTGCTTACATCTAGGTAAGTGGTCCTGTTGCTAGCTCTTTCTCCATGGTAGCGAGAATCAATTGCCACTGCAATATATCCCCTTGAAGCATATGCCTGTATAAAGAAACTCCTTGAGCAAGAAACAATCCTTCTGCAAATAATTTCCTATGTTACTATGAGAAATACGAGAAGCGGATAGAACTACTAAGTCTATTTCACCTCAAGTAATGGATGTAATCATTCCTTGCAATTGTAAGAACTATGCAAAAATACAATAGTTGGCTGTCTCCGTGGAGCACTTACGATCAAGACAGGCAAACGGCCTTGATTACCAGCCTGCAAAAATATTAAAAACAATATCAAAAGAAGATTCAAAGCTAAGATGCAGTGTAAAAAGCTGCAGTTATATGAATTACATTATTGATCATATAACTATGTGTATGGACTACTTGATGCTTCAACATTACTGACATTATGGTACCAAGCAATTTTCACTAACTAGATACAAGTTGAATAGATTAAATTCAGGCCAGCTATAGTCCGCAGATTGCAAGAAAATTTTCATAACACCATTGATGAAGTTATGCATTTGGCTAATATGGAATAAAATTGGCTATGAATTTGTAGCCTCATCTTCATAGATCTCCTGAGAGTGGCCTTAACCTTATCAGAGTCAGTAAACTTACTTTGATAGTAGGACTGTGGAGTTACTTACTTTAAAGTGAGTATAGAATTACTTTCCTAAAATACTAGAGTGACATAAGCAGTAACAAATAATTCACATAGGACGATAGTTTCATTAAGCATAGACTGTTTCATTTGCAGACTGTTTCATTAAGCACCTCATCAAGACCAAAACCATCTTCATGAAGCATCCTCCAATAAAATCGGTGGAAAAAACTATATGTATACAGATCAAAACTAAAACTAAATTTTGCGCAAACACTGGAAGTATAATATACTAGTGTAGCATCGATTCTACCTGCCCGTCCACAGTGCTGGAACCCCCACAGACTAATCCACTAAAATTGAGAGTTCTTTGCTATCATGGCAAACATGTTTTATATTTCAATTGTATCATTCTATCATAGCAAACAACATAAGCATAAAATTCTAATGTGGAACATGTTTTATTCAGACAATTTCCTCTATCAATCTACTTAAAAATGAAAAGGAACAAACCTTTTTCTTGGGGAGAAAAAGGGCATACCTATAAATTGAATTTCATCATCAAATGAACTTTCGTCATCTTGAAGGTGGTGATAAATGAAAGTACTGTTGTAAAGATTTCTAGAAGCATGTACCACCTGCATTACAAAAAAAAAACCAACAAAAATTAAGTCACCTGTATAAAGAGATTGACAATTGTCGATGGTTTGATATATTTCAATTGTTGCACTATACCACTATTTTAGAAGAAATTGGGATGTGGAAAGAAAAGAATAGGGAAAAATTTGATGATTTTGAAGCAGAGAGTCTGGATATGCTAAGGAGTTCTGAAATTTCTTATGATTGTGATAATAGAATTTCAAGTGCGGAAATTTCAAATTTGTTTTTATGACTTATTATTCATTTTCTTCTCTTGAGTGAATATTCTATATTGCAAAAAAAATCAATAAAAAGTGCAGCTAATCACTTAGATTAAGCAAGGATTCAATGGACATTAATAGCATCAAAGATTCAATGGAAAGACAGTGTAGAAAAATGTACAAAGTGGCGTTCTAAAGTCAATATCGTATATTATCCAAGCGTCAATATCAATACCAAAATCTTAATTTCGATTACAAAGTCATAATAAGATGAAATTAAAAGCTAGGTTTTTCTACGTGCTTTTGCGTCGACGTCAATGAAAACCCAATCAAAATCACAACTTTCTGATCAAAATTCTAGTTTTTTTATACTCACATTGAGAATATGAGAAATCCCAAAAGTCTTGAGAACTTGAATCCATGATGCATGGTCGTAACTACCCAAGTAGAGAAAATCCTTGAGAATCTCAAAAGGAAAGGCACTTTCTTTGTCGACTGAAATAGAAACAGGCACGCGATGACCACAAACTCCGCAGGTTTCTTCTTGCTTATGATAGTGATCACAGATTTCGCATGGATTCTCCCTCCCCCCTCTTTCACCGGTAGAAGAGAAAAGGAGAAACAAACAGGGAAGGGAAAAACTGAAGATTGCAAGTAGTCAAGGCGTCCTGCGAGTTGGAGAGGTGGCGAGGTCCGATTTGGGGAGGAAGAACTAGGGTTTTTTGCGGGGGTCTCGGGAGGGGGGTTTTTGGTTTTTTAACTTTTTCACGAAAATAAATGGGGGGAGATTTCCCTCTGGCTAAAATCAATTTGTCCCAACTGTTCATTAATTTGTCCCAACGGTTTGAACCGTTGGGGCTGGTTTTCACCAGTCCCAACGGTTCTATCCACCCGTTGGGGCTGGGCTATTTTTTACTAGTGTGTGTAAACAAAGAGTAAATAAAATCAACTAAACTCAATATAAACAATAGCTTAATAAAATGGTAATTAAACAATATAAATGTAAATCTAGATTGAGTTTAGGAAAACTTCTCTATAGATAACAAGAGAGAGGGAGAAGAGTGAATGCTTAAACACCAATGATGATCTCCACTTGTTCTTGTGAAATTCTCTTCACAAACAAAACTCTTAAACACTCTTTTAAACAAACTAAAACAAACTTTAAACTCTTGTTAAACTTGTTTAAAACATTCTCTTGGATTATTAAAGAGCTGAAGGCAATGGGGTATTTATAACAACCTAAGACATCAGCCAAAACCCAACTGAAAAGACAAAAAAGCCATCAGAAAACACTGTTGGAAACTAGTCGTTACTGTGCAACGGCTCTTTCATAAGTTGACTTATGAGTCGACTTATATGAGTCAACTCAGCAGAAGAAAAATCATAACTGTGCTGCACTACGTGAGTCGACTTAAGAGTCGACTAATGAGTCGACTAAACATGCACAGACCTGAAGTGCACAGAAAAACTAAACTTTAAACTGGGTTTAAAAATATCAAATAAATTCTATAAAATATAAAACTTTAGAAAATGATTGTAAACATGATAATAAACATGTTACAAAAACTGGTTTTCAAAAAGAACTTCCTAAATATAAAATATTATTATTTTTTAAAATAGTCCAAAAACATAAAAACTAAACATACATGCTTTTGACATTTGACTTAAACAAACTTTTGAAACTCTACAAATGATTTTATAGACTTAAAGAAAGATGTAAATTATTGTTATGAAGTCTATAAACTAGAAACACAATATTTTCACAAATATGTATATTCTATGCAATATTTTCTAAAACACAATAATAAATATGAAATATGTGATTTTATATTTATGAACATGAAAACTCAAACCTTGTGTTGTATATATATATATATATAACTATATATATACAAGGAAACCAATATAATGTGTGTGTATATGATTGAGCTTAAAATACTAACACACATAATATAAACCTAAACTAATGTTACCCAAGCTTGATCTTGATCTTCATTGTAGCTTAACTTGGTAAACTTTGCGGATGAAGCTAGAACTTGGATCTTCAACTTGAATTGCATAGGTTTCACCCACTATTCCGCTAACCTCCATTGGATATGATCGTTAAAGCGCAATTCTATCATCCTCCAACACGTTGTTTGTCTACAATAAATAGAAATACACAAACACTAGACAAACAACATAAGTGGTAAATTGTTTGTTAAACATCATCAAAACAAAGAGACCAACACAACAGTGGTTTTTTATCCTTCGCCAGAAAGTTGAAATTACCTTGTCGTGATGCACCAAAATAAGAGCGAGAGATGCGTGTGATGCCAAATTAAGAGCGAGAGGGTGTGTTTATGCAAACTTGAGAGATTAAGGATAATTATTTTCAAGAATTTTGAGATCGATTTTCGGGTTTTGAGGTTTGATAATCGCTCTTAGGGCTCTACGAGGATCCCTCTATTTGGGAAAGTGAAATGGAGGAGAGAGAGAGGAAGAGGCCGGTTATATTTGGGAATGAAGGGTAGTTTAGGAATTTTTAATTTATTGGGTAAATACAGAATAAAGAATGAGGGTTTTAGACATATTGGGTTTAAAAATAAGTGGGAGGAGGTATATTAAGTGTATTGGTGTTTGGAAAAGTGGGTGAGTTTTTACATAAGTAGGGGTAAATTTTTTGATTAAAAGAGAGAAAACCGTAATTTCAATATACATGTGCATTTTAGTGTTTTATGGTCAGTTTGCAAATCACCTCCTGATAACGACTTTTTCTTTCCTCCTATATTTGTGCTTTGTATTTGCTGTTCATTTGATTTGGAGATATCATTTTGAGTTGGTTTCAGATTGGATTAAGGTTCAAGAGAGATTTAATCTATCTCCTCATAGCCTCAACTAACGGAAAAAGAAACGAAACACTAGCAATTCAATAATAATATTATATTGCCTTCCCCTCTCCCTTTCTTATGCTATATTATGGTTTTGGCGATATTGGGAGGAAGCATTCTTTTACTCTGCTTGATGATGAAGTAGTAGTATAAATTTTGCGAATAAAGCAATGCCACGTTGCTCTTGCCGTAGAATTGGCGACACAGTGACGAAGTTCGGATTTTTTAAAGCAGAGAATATTTTGGATGTTGCACGGTCGACCGCGAGTGGCGCTTGGCGCTGCGGTCAACCGCGAACATGCACAGCATAGGGAAAGTCTCTGGATTTTTCGCGGTCGACCGCAAGTGGCGCGGCGATCGACCGGCAAAACCCTGTTGTGTTTTTTGGTTTCGATCGTTGAATCCAGTCGACCGCGATGGGTTCGACGGTCGACCGCGAGTCGGGTCTAAGCCTGCTTCAGTTTCATGCACGATTTGTTTAGGGTTTATTGGATCATATTGATCACTTTTGGGGTAGCTTGAAGGAGAGTTTTGAACACAGAAAAGAGAGTTCTTTTCTGAGCAAATTGTTTGAGGGTTTTGTGAGAGATTTGAAAGTTTTGTTTGAGAAGTTAGTTTGAGTGATCTTGTAATCTCTATTTTGTACTCTCTTTCTGTATAGTGAAAACTCATCTCCTTCTTGCCCCATGGACGTAGGCAATTTCCCGAACCACGTTAAACTTTGTATTTGAATTTGTGCCATTATTGTTTGATTTGAGTTATCTTCTCTCTCGGTGTTTGGTTTGGACCCTCGGCGCACAACAAAGGGCTTCCGCGCACAACAAGTGGTATCAGAGCTCAGGCTACGCTTGGGCTAATTGGAGGAGAGATCGCTTTGGAAGTTCGTTTAGGGCTTTAGTTGGTGATAAATGTGAGATTTTTCCTATTTGTGAATCTCGTTTCCATCATGCGGAGTGAGATCTTTCGGAGGCTCTTGTTATGGTTATAATTAGAGGTTAAAATCTCTCCTTTATCAGTTTGGATTTATTCTTTGTTTATTCTGCATTGGTTTGTTGGTGCTTTGAGATAGATGGCCGAGAAAGAAGGAGTTGAGGCTGAGATATTGGATTATTGAGGAGTGTTTTAACCTGTAGATTGAAGTCCTTTGAGCACATTGGTATGAGCAAGAAGATTAAGGTGGAGTTTGGCACTTCTATCCATCGATCGATAGGTCTTTTAGGTGGTGTTCATTCAGGTATTTGGGGGCCTTCCAAGGAGGCATCGTTAGGAGGTAATAGGTATTTGATTTCCGCAGTTGGGGACTGTTCCAAGTTCCGTTGGTTTGAAGTCAACAACAGATGAAGGAAGTGTGTTAGCAGAAAGGTAACCCGTCATTTTATTTTTGGTAGCAGTTCTTTCTTGTATTTATGTCGAGCTCACGGCAGTTTGAAACACTTCATTGGAGAGGAGACATTAGGGCGACGAGATGATATGACAGTTTTGATGGATTATTCCTTACTGGAGGAGGATCGACATTTGTTGTCGAGCATTTTATTGCAGAGGAGTTTTGGAACTTCGATATATTTGGGTCATCTTAGTCATAGGTTGTCGATTGTTGCGTTTGAAGTTATTAGATCTGGTGAAGCTGCTTCAGATTTTGGGTTGTGTCGGATGTTTGGTTACCCAGTATTTGGTCACATCAAGGATGTGATATTTGATCTGATTGTACATTTGAGATTCAAAGGCTCGTTTGGTTATCAGTGGGGAGACTCTGATTTTTTTCTAAGCAGGTATGTCACATTTGACTCTCGACAGGTAGAGAGTGTTGATCAGATTATTGGGATATCGTAGCAGGTGGAGGACGATGTTACTCCATGTTGGGTGGAGATTGCTCCACATACTCTAGATCATATTGTATCATTTAGATTCCAGCTGAGGTGACACGGTTTAGGGATCGTTTGGATTTGGATGCAGATGATGAGTTGGTTGATTCGTTGCAGCTGGTGGACATAATTTGGATTTGGATATGGCCGTTGATTCACCTCAGGTGGAAGTGTTTGGTTTGTTTCATTTTGGGGTCATTGGGAGAGCTATCAGCCGCAAATTTGTTGGTGAAGAGTTGAGAACTCTTCTATTGGATTGAGAGTCTTTAGAGGCAATTTGGTGAACTACTTGAAGACTTGATTCCTTTGGCAAGAGGATACGTAGACAGTCATTTATGATGCAGCCGATTTGATGGGTAGATACTGACGTTTGGAGAGTGTTCACATTCTCATTTGGGTCTCGACTTGTTGTGAATTGAGTCCATTGTTGTGATTTCGTTTCACTTCGTACTGGACACAACAAGTGGGACATTTGGTTTGGTTGATGTCGACTCAGTTTTGGAAAGACTTCACCGAGGTGGAGAATTGTAGAATTGGCGACACAGCGACGAAGTTCGGATTTTTTGAAGTAGGGAACATGTTGGATGTTGCACGGTCGACCGCGAGTGGCGCTGCGGTCGACCGCGAACGTGCACAGCACAAGGAAAGTCTCTGGACATTTCGCGGTCGACCGCAAGTGGCGCGGCGATCGACCGGCAAAACCTTGTAGTGTTTTTTGGTTCGATCGTTGGATCCGGTCGACCGCGATGGTTGGGCGGTCGACCGCGAGTCGGGTCCGGGCCTGCTTCGGTTTCCTACACTGTTTGGGTTTCCTGTTTTATATAAATAGGAACACGATTTGTTTAGGGTTTATTGGATCATATTGATCACTTTTGGGGTAGCTTGAAGGAGAGTTTTGAGCACAGAAAAGAGAGTTCTTTTCTGAGCAAATTGTTTGTGGGTTTTGTGAGAGATTTGAGGGTTCTGTTTGAGAGGTTAGTTTGAGTGATCTTATAATCTTTATTTTGTACTCTCATTCTCTATAGTGAAAACACCTCCCATTTTTTCCCCGTGGACGTAGGCAATTTGCCGAACCACGTTAAACATTGTGTTTGAGTTTGTGCCATTATTGTTTGATTTGAGTTGTCTTCTCTCTCGGTGTTTGGTTTGGTCCCTCGACGCACAACAAGTGGCTTCCGCGCACAACACTTGCTCCATATCCAGCACCTCCTAATGGCAATTCCATAAATATCTGATGCAAAAAAAGTGAATAACCACGCCTCGCTCAAAAAAAAATCTCGACTATCATATTATGTGTACCCAATGGTTTCACTTTCACTGAGTTTGTAACTTATATATGGAAAAAAATAAAAGAACTATTTTCTTCATAACTAAATGAAAATTTTCCCTTATTTGTTAGGTTCACAGAGCCAGCTTGTGTGTTCTGGATGTCGAAATCTGCTTCTGTATCCGCTTGGTGCATCGTCTGTGCGTTGTGCGGTTTGCAATGCAGTGACAACTGTTCCTCCTCCCCGTAAACTTCAAAACTCTTTTGGCCAAAGTGTCGTGTGAAAGAAAATAGTCCTATAATAACAACAACATAAATTAATTTTTCATTTCTCAGGTTAATTACTTCTTTTTTGTTCTTGCAACAATTTGTTATTATTTTTCATTCTATCATTTTCAGTTGAACCAGCCATGTAAATGATGAAAGCCAGCTATTAGTTAAGGAAAATTTAATCTATAATGCATATAGACGTCTCTTTTTCACCCTTTCAAAAGTGCATTTTGATAATAAGAAAACAATTACTTTCTGAATTAAATTGCATTATTGAGATTTTTATAGGAACAGAAATGACTCAGCTAGTTTGCGGAGGTTGACACACTTTGTTGATGCAATACGTGGAGCTACGAGCATACAACGTTCCTGTTGTCACACTGTCAATCTGGCTTTGGAAGGTGAGATAACTATCTTCTTTAAATAAAGAATACTTGTCCAGGAATTACTAGATGTTTAGTGATAGACTAAAAAGACACCACGTTGTTAGAAAGTAACTGGATTATGGCTGGGAGAAAACATATGAACAGGACACTATTATACGGGTTAACTTGATCAGGATACGGAGCACCAAGGATACAAAAAATTATAAAAAAAAAACACCTCAGTAACATTAAAGATGCATAGTCCTGAAAAATCCTAATTCAGCTTCTTCAGTTCCAAAATATTTTTCAGTACTAGAAGAAAATAATAAACTGCAGTGGTGAGTATCGATGGATCCAAACTTTTTCTGGCAGCAAACCAAGTTGCCCATGTAAACGGTGGGAATTGTCAAATGTTGTTGATGTATCAATATGGGGCAAGATCACTGAAATGCGCGGTTTGCAATTTTGTGATATCAGTTCATGTTTGTTTCCTTGAAATGTTGGTTGTTTTGACATGTACTTGTTTATTTGTTAGTTCCGTTTTAGCTTCTTACCTCGCAAAATTTGGCATTGGAGAGATGTCCTATTTTTGACATAATTTGGCATTGGAGAAAGAAAAATAACTCTCAAGCTTAGGGTTATTTTTCCAATATTTGCAGCTTGCACCAAACACTGAACAGAAGCCTCGCAGCTGAAAGTTAAAAAGCAGTGAAATCTATCAAACCGATTTGTAATAGCCATGGAAGAAATTGTTTCTAAGTTGAAGATTACTTCATCTGATATCTCTTGCGGCATATGAATTCTATGTATTGACTATAGAGTTCTTGTTACTACTCTGGATAATCATTCTCCTCTCCCTCCCTCCCTCCCTTCCTCTTTTTTCCTTTTTGGCATCCAAAATAAGGAGTTTAAGTGTTAGTGGTGTGAGGATAGTTTGAAATAAATGATGTTTAAGTTGGATGGTCGAAGCATTTTGTTTTTAGTTGGATTCATCGTCTTGATGAATTTGTCTACATTAAGTATTAACCTACATTAAGTATTAACCTTCTGTGTCTATAATGTTGTTATTTCATGGAGGATTGACGTAATGAGAGGTAATGGTCCTTTTTTTCTTTTTTGTGATTTTATCTTAAGATGAATTTTCTGACGAATTTATATTCGAGAAGACTTGGTGTTAATTTTCTTTCTTTGCTCTGACATAAATGTTGTGTTCTAAATATTTTCTATGTCTAAAGAACATGCTTTTCATGGTAATATTTAAACATAGCTGGTTTAGAAAGGAAGCCATTTAAAATGAATTAACTTGCGAGAAGGAGAACATATAAAAAAAGGATGACAGAAAAAAGTTTCAGAGAAAAAAATCATTCTGATGGTATATTTATGAGGCTCTAAAGAAAATATTTTCTGGAAATATTGAAAATAGAAACAGGAACCCTGCCCACAGTCTGAGCAGATAAGGCTCTAATTAAAGAAAGCCACACGCCACAAATTTTTTTTTAATAGATAAGTCCAATAACACTCTTTAAATTACCTGATCAAATTTTATATAAATTACCTGATCAAATTTGGAGGAAACATTTTCAGAGTTCCCCATCAATCCATGACTCACTCGACCCATTTCCACAACGCAATCCACCCTCTCCTTGAACAGAAATGCTCAAACTTGAACCGACTCAAACAAATCCATGCCCAACTCATCACAACTGGCTTCATTCACCACTCTCCATCACTCACCAAACTCCTCTCCCTCTCTCAATCTTCAAGCTTAGCATATGCCTCAATGCTCTTCAACAACACCCCACATAAAGCCGACATTATCCTCTTGAACACAATTTTACGAGGATTTGTGAACCACAATTTCCCCGAACTAGCCATCAAAACCTACACAGAAATGATCCAAGACTATGATATTTCTCCTGATAGATTCACCTTCCCTTCATTACTCAAAGCTTGTACTCAAGATCCAGTCTTGACTAACGGAAGATCCCTTCATTCCCAAATTCTGAAACTTGGCCTTGAAACTGACCTCTACACTCAAACTGCACTTATTGCAATGTACTCAGCTTATCGAGATTCTTCCTCCTCAAGAAAAGTGTTTGATAGGATGGAACAGAAGAAGAATGAGATTGCTTGGACTTCCATGATCAATGGGTATGCAAGGAATGGATCTCCAAGAGAGGCATTGCAGCTTTTCTTCTTGATGAAACAAGAACAAGGTTTAGTCATCGATGAAGTCACTATGGCCTCTGCAGTTTCAGCTTGCGGAGAACTGAGAGATTTGAACTATGGCAAGAGGCTTCATTATGAAATCAAGAAATCAGGAATGAGAATCTGCGTGGTTCTTGGGACTGCTCTTGTTGATATGTACTCAAAATGTGGGGAATTGGATTTGGCAAGAGAAATTTTCGACATGATTCATGATGATGATAAGAATGTGGTTTCTTGGTCTGCTATGATATCTGGATATTCTCAGAATAATCAGGGAAATGAGGCTTTAAGATTGTTCAAGGAGATGGTTTCTAATTCTGGTCACAAGCCAAATGAGATCACAATGATGGCAGCACTCTCAGCCTGTGGTCAGACTGGTGACTTGAATCTAGGGAAGTGGATTCATGCTTATATCGATAAAGCGCACCTTGATCATTCAACTGGCTTGATGAATTCCCTTGTCGATATGTATTCAAAGTGTGGGAAGATAGAGCTAGCCTTTGAGATATTCAGTGAGATGCCGAAAAAGGATATTATTTCGTGGAATGTGATTATAAATGGGCTAGCGCTACATGGGTTTGGTGATCGAGCCTTGACTCAGTTTGATCTGATGCAAAAAGCAAGAACAGTGCCAGATGACATTACATTTATTGGTGTTTTATCAGCTTGCAGTCATACAGGCTTATTGAAAGAAGGGTTGTTTCATTTTCAAAACATGAAGGAAACGTATAGGATTGAGCCGAAATTGGAGCACTATGGATGCATGGTTGATTTGCTCAGTAGAGCTGGAATGCTAGAAGAAGCTCAAAAGCTTGTCAGAGAGATGCCAATTGAGCCAAATGGGGCGGTCTGGGGAGCCTTACTCAGTGGATGCAGAGTCTATAACAACGTAGAGCTAGGAGAGGAGGCAGCCAAGCATCTTCTTGAAATTGAACCAAACAATGATGGCAATTATGTTCTTTTATCGAACATTTATGCAAGAAAGAAACAATGGGAAGAAGTGAGGGGCGTGAGGCTTCTTATGCATTTAAGAGGCATCAGAAAAGTACCAGGTTGCAGCTCAATTGTGATGGATGGAGGTAGCCATGAGTTCACTGTAGGAGACAGAGCTCATCCTGAATCAGAGAAGATATATTCAATGCTGAATGTAGTCAGTGACAGGTTGAGAGCTGCAGGTTATAAGGCAGAAACATCAGAGGTGCTGCTGAATATCGATGAAGAAGAGAAAGAAGACTCACTTTCTCAGCACAGCGAGAAGTTGGCTCTGTCATTTGGGCTGATAAAGACGAGGCCGGGTGATGAGATTCTTATATTGAAGAATCTAAGGGTGTGCAGAGATTGTCACTCTGCGTTCAAAATGATATCCAAGCTCTTTCAGAGAAAGATTACTGTCAGGGACAGAAGCAGGTTCCATCACTTTAGGAACGGGACATGTTCTTGCAAAGATTATTGGTGAGCAGGTTCAAATGCTATATTACAAACCAATGCGTGAAATCACTTTCCTCAAAGTTAAACATGACTTATAATGAGGTGATGGTAAAACTCACTGTAACCACGAGCTATCTTTTAAACCATTACCTACAGGAGAATATTCAGATCCATAGAAGATGTGTTATTAATTTCAAAAAACAAGCACTTAGCGCTGGAAAACAATTCTTCCTGCAGGTACATTCCATTATGCAGAGATATTCTAATACACAAATGTGAGGAAGACAAATCTTCACATAAAAAGTATAAACATATAATTTTATTTGCTTTTATTATCAAGAACATTGATTGTACCACTCTAAGAGCAACTTACAAATTAGAACCCGGGAGCTTTCAGCTTATTTGGAGTTACATCAAAGTAGTAATATTGATTATATGCCCCAAGGAGACACCTTGTCCGCTCAACTCTTTTCCATACAGGTTGTGTAAACTGAACTGCGTTCAGAGCTTTGATATAGATGGGGTTTTAGAGTTGCTTCTCTCAGGAAGTTTCAAATCTTCCCACAAAGCTTCGTCAACCTTGGCAAAATATCGATCCACCATATCATCATCTAGCATGTCAAGTCTAGCCGGATTCCACTGCAAAGCGATTAATGCAATGGGTGACTATCATTGATAATTCATTTTATCATATTTCTCTTCCCTTAAAAGTAAGTCATTTCAAGCAGGTAGAGGGATTAGTATAAAATCTAACCTTTGGGTTTCTGTCTTTATCCACTAAAATAGCCCTACACCCCTGCAAATAAAAGCTGGCTTATTAGCTTAAAAATTATCTATTTTAACTTTTAATGATCTAGAAATACCTCGATGAAATCCTTGCTGAGTTCTCTTCGTAGAACATGGCAACACGTCCTGTAATCTTTGATAAGGCATTGGCCAATTCGCTGCGTCCTACCTTCTCTGATCTGGAGTCTCACCGCAAGTAGTTGAAGGATTCATATGCATCTTATCAATCTAGTTAAATCTTCATATACTAGTATTAAATAAATCACTTAAACATAACCAACTCAGCTTAAATCTCAAAAGTGGAGGATTGCAGTCGTCAATTAATCAGAACAAGGCAAGCGCTGATAACTCGAGCAGCACATACTAAATTTCTTAATCAGCAATGAATGTAGAACATTTGCCTGATGTTAAAATTGTTGTGTTATTGCATAATTAATAGAAAATTTGAGAGATAATCAAGCGGAGTAAATCAGTCGTGGTTTTGGTCATGGAATGAAGCCCACAAAATTAAGTTGCAAGGCAGGTCCAATTCATGATTAGTTTTGTGTCATAGATTTTGTTAGACAAGAAAAACATTAACAACGAAATTAATGCATATAAATAAAATCTGATCTAGGAAGAAGAAATGGGTATGTGCTTCTGAGCTGAAAAATGATAAATCAGTTCGTGCCCGATGCAAATGGAGATGGTGGACAATAACATTGCAATATCTTTAATCATTGTCATTTGGCACTTTATTATTTAACTTGTGTATTCAAAAGTATTTTACGGGATAAAGAATCGCTCTCGCTGTGTTCCAAAGAGGCAGCTGAATTCTCATAATGACACAAATTTGATCCAAAGAGGCAGCTGAATTCTCATAATTTGACACAAATTTGAAGCTTTTATCAGTATTCTCTTAGCACAAATCATGGACTACCTGCAACAGATGTTGAGTTAATGTGACTCGGGGTAAAGCAAGATAAATAGATAAGACGCAGGATAATTTGTTCTGTAGATATGGCCTACAGTAAACTAAGCACAGAAGAGAAGCAGTTTAGTGCTGCCCCAGAGACAGGTTGTTATGAAGGCTCTAATAAATAAGATGAACTTGGCTACTTTCAAAAGGACTCAGTTGAATCCTTCCCTTGCAAATTTAATTATACAATATTGACATTATAAGTCCACTCCGTTAAAGTTTGTTGGAGTTGCGGAAGCTAGATGAGTAATTGATTTTAGTTTTAGAGGATTGAGAATAGAGGAAGTAGAAAGGAAATGAAAAATTGGAAGGGAAGAGGCTAGCTTGAAGAAACTTTGTTTTAATTGCTTCAAAGCTTGTTCCCAATGCTTACATTCATTGCCTATTTATAGGCACATATAGAACTATCTAGAGCATAGATATTTTACATGAAACATTCTAGAGTATATTATAATATTCCTATATTCTAGATATATCTTATTTTTGTCATATTTCTAGTCCTAGTTATCTCTAGAAGCTTTCCATATTACAAGGTTATTGTAGAGTGTTCTAGAATTACAAATTATCTTCTAACAAAGTAGACATAAAAAATTTAGTGTTAAAATCAAATTTTGAGTTTTTTCTTTTAAATTTTTCTTGCTCTTTCATTGAACAGCCTAAATGGCGAGCCGCTTAGTTTTATGGCCTGGAATGTTTAAAGCCTAACAACAGTGGTGTGTGTACATGGAGCTTGAAGTGTTTAGATCATGAAATAATGTTTTCACTTAATTTTATACGCTAAAAGTATCTAATGGACTAGTAAAATTCTAAATTCATTGTGCCTAATTTAGACATGGGAAGGCAAATTGAGAACCATTTACTTCTTTATTTTTAATATACATAGTGTAGAATAAATGTAACGCAATCTTCCATTTGATCTAACTGTTCAATATGAATGGAAAGGATTCAACTTTGAATTTCAATAGCCAAGTCTTATGTGTACTATATTAGGTTTGAAATAAGTAGGTAGAAAACGGACGGCCTAAATAATGAGTTGCTTCGTATGTATAAAATTTAAATAGCCAAGTCTTATGAGTACTATTTTAGGTTTGAAATAGCCTTCATATGTATAAAATTTATAAATGAATATGCAGGAGTTTATGATTGGAAATAGATATAATGATAATGTTGCTCAAAGCCATGAAACAGTGTCCTAATTTGTCATCATATCATCATCAGGTAAGCCTTTCGCTTTTGCCAATAAGCAGAAAAAAAAACTTAAGCCAAAAAAAATGATGTTGGCTTTAAGCAACACTTAGAATCGAGAAATCTCCAACAAAGTGTAGACTGTAACTTGGTAACTTGACGCCGACACTCTCAAGGTAACTATGGGCACAAAAGTATGGTGTTTGGGAAGTTTAAATTTGAACAAAGGAGCATAATAGATAAAACTATAATAGCAGTCCCCGGTTTGTACAACAAGAAGTATCCATAGTGCTAAGCATCATACTGTCGTGTTATGTATATGCACATAATTATTTAGCGAGAGTGATTACTAAAGATAAGCATATTCCTAGGGACGTGGAGAAACATATGTAAAGATCGCAAGCTATGCATACCAATCTGAGAGAAATTTTAAGACTGGTAGGTGATGCCTTCTTCAATGAATCAATTGCAGCAGAAATCCACTCCTCGCGAACATGAACTGCCTCCAGCTCCTGTAATAGAAGAAAAAGGTAATTGTTATTGTGAAAATGAATAAAAAGAAGAATATTGCTACATTAGATGATACACCATAGGGAAAAAGGGACAAAGATAGTCTAAATTTTGCTCTTGCAAAAAGCGTCAACTTACAAGAGCAGATAAAATTTCTTCAACAGTTCTTTTAGAGAAGCATCGGTCAATCGTATCCAACCTGCAAGTAAACAGGAAGACATCAGACTGAAAAGATAGAAGACAAATATACCATAAAAGTGAGGCATGGTGCTGGCAACTAAAACATACTGACTTCCAGTTTGATAGGTCAGCAATGTGAACAGACGTCTTATTATCACTGTATAAACTCATAGGACATTCTGGCTGCAGCTCCGGGGTATGGGCTTTAGGGGGGCTCTGGTGCAAGGGTTAGGACTGACAAGGATGATCGGACTTGATGGGGATGGCTGATGGGGGTGGCTGTGGCGTTGATAATGGTAGCTGGGGAAGATGATTGCCACGGGGAAGATGAAGATGATGGCTGCGGGGATGATCGACTTGAGATGGTGGATGCACAGATGATGGCTGCAGTGATAATAGCGGCTGAAGAAGGCTGTCGGAAACATGGGTTAGGGCTGGGGAGGGATTAGAATTAGGGTTTAGAGAGAACGTTGATGGACTCTGATACCATATTAGAAGTGGAAATTAGAGATGATTTATTTCTCCTCTCTACCTTTATTTATAATAGGAAACTAATACAAACCCTAATTACTGAACAAATTAAATAACTTTTAAACATAACAACTTACTAAAACTAAGTCCTCAACATACTAAAACTAAGTCCTCTCATAACATTAGCCAACTCTATTGGCAAACTATACATTGAAACTTTTTATTCAGTTCCAACAGGTCCCACAAATTCAATCAAACCAGACACACCATAGTTGCTATCCCCACTGTCAATCTTGTCTACTTCATAACCAACTCTGCTATCAATTATTACATTGAAATATTTTATTCTTAGTACCTAAAAATCAAAATTAAAATGCAATAGACAATAGGATCAAAATCCTAAATTGAAATTCAACATATTCAACTCCACTAGTTATAGGGATCAACCAGTTCATAATAATAGCACAACTTCCTTCAAAGGAGAGATATTATGTGTTGGTTTTAAAGAATGTACTCCACAAACAAAAGATGCATTCATAAGGTAATGGAAGTGTTGAGAACAATACAACAGTTTCGAATAAACTTACCTATTATAGGCACTGCTTTCTTTCACAGGCATCTGTTGTGAAAACTGATCAATGATTCCACAAACAGTAAAAGCATCAGAGCTGTTCACACCAATAAGGGATTCCTCCAGCAAAACTAATCTCTGATAAGTGACAAAAGAACAAATAAGAATCGCATCTCATCTCCAAATGTGAATCCAACCTACTTAGAAAGGAGATACTGACTTAAATATAACGTAAGAAAATGTTGAACAAACACAGCCCTAAACAAAAACCGTGAATTGTAGCAGACATCTGACCTGTTGGACATAAAGATATTTGAAAGAGCCAAAAAAAAAAACACATTAAAACAGCTTGTAAAGACAGATCAATAGAGGTATTTCAGACGAGTTCCCAAAACAAAATGAAAAATTAATAGGAAGCCACTCATGATTCATAATTAAGTAGTTATGTGTGCAAAGGAAACTATACCGCTGAGGGAACAAAGTGAGTTGCAAGTCCACAAGCAAGCAATTCAGCCCCATCTAACCTTGCACCCGTGAGACCGACATACTCTCCTGTAATAGAAGCATTTACACTATAAATAAATATGAAAGAAATTTCCAGAAGAAATATCAAATAACATTTATCAGTTTTGACTGATAGCACATTGTGTTTTTGTGATTCACATAATTTCACATAAAGGTGCAAGCCACTCAAATCCATTTGTAGAAAATAGGGAACATAAGACTTGATCCATGAGGCATGACCTATCAAAATTCAGTGCACTTGTAATGTAGGGGGAAAAAATTCAGTCTAAATGTTGTCACATGGACAGGCATGCAAGCATACATGTATACATGTATACATCTGTGTAGATATCATACCTATACAAGTCAAATCAGAGATGCAGCAAGCATGAATGTGTGACACCCTGAGTGAAGAACTTCTCAGAATGTCAACCGTCCAGGGTACTCCCTTGAGTCTGCTTAATTATAGAGTTTTGTTCAACTATTTGTCTCTTAAATTGCTAGCTCTGATTAACTCTTAGGTTCATAAACTTTGGATTATAACTTGTTTTAGTGGCATCTTCTTCCCGTTATCTACCCTGAAGACCACCTTGGCACCCTCCTTGCACCATTAGTAGGGAATGGTTCCACAAAGAGACTTGCTTCTTGTGTAAACCCCTATCTGAGAAAAGGCATCTGAAAGGAATGATAAACCCGGACTTGGGACTACTCAATATCAATTTGGGTGTAACATAATGACTGGTAACAAAAATCTTATAAACCTGAATAGATAAATTTAGAACTGGGTTGCTTCTATTAAAAAAACCTACATTCTATGTTAATTGACATTTGAAATGGAAGTAACATGTGTATTATCTAACTTCTATTCAGACTTATAATTATGATATTCTAATTAAATTTTCTCTTATGAAGGTCTAAAGTGTCAATTTTCCATCCCTTGACTGCATAATTAATACCATTCATCTTTATATACGTTGACCAATACATAGATACACCAATATCACTTGACTTCCAGTCTCTTTCGAATAGAGGCGGAAATTGTTCTAATTTAGTAAAAACATTAAATTGCAACCATTAGAGGAAAGATCAAATAGTAATTTTTTTTTGTATCCTTGTTTAGTTTATCAAGATCAACATGAATGGTGGTAGCGAGCATCTAATAAATGGTGAAAATGAACTTTCTTCTATGGTCGAAAGAAGCAACTGACTCTAGGTGAAATATTCGTAAGGTGACTTGCCTAACGATTTTACTTGCATAGTTTTCTTTTCTTTTTTTTTTCTTCTTCATTTTTCCCCTTTTTGGGTCGATCTTCAATTTACATAGTTGTACATAAAAACATAAAAATATTTGTATATAGTTTCACATTTTACATTTAAGCCTAAGGAGGTTTAACACTTGAGTATCCCAACATATATAAAAAAGACGACAAAGCATGTAGCACGTCAGAAAAGATTTGAAATTTGAGGAACCATCCAACCAGTGTTAAGAAGAAATAGATAGTTGATAGGATTATACATAAAGAGTATAATTATAAAAAATTACCAATTCTAACATAGGCTATTGCAGTAAAGCGGTTATACGATTGAATTTTGCAGATGTTCAAATTATCAGCGAGTTTCGATAGATTTTATGCATGATCTTTTGTATGCCCTGAGTATTCCCAACATATGGGCCAACATGTCATCTTTTAGCATTTAACAATAACAATACAACATGAAGGTAGATATTGATGAATATGTCCCCATATAGTACTTCACATATTAAATCTAAGTATCCTGCTTGTTTATTTTTATTTTTAACCCTATACCTTAGCTTTTTGTATGGATTGAACAGATGTCTGTTAGATTTTACTATTTAATTAGATATATGAGAATTAATCTGCATTAAGTATTGCAATGTTTACAGATGTGAGATATGTATATTTTTCATTCACTTTGTCCGCTATTTACTATATATATCTACATATTGCTTATCTGACATAAAACTCTCCTGCAGCCACGTATCTGATATCGGTCATCTAGAACTCTGCTCTTTGCGACTCGATAAATGTTCTACTTGGAGAAACTAATCCATAGTACTCTTTTATGTAGTTCAGTCCTTCAATAGTTCAGAAGTTAGGATGGGAATTTAATAACTTACTGCTTCTTCCAATAGCCAAGGAGCCAGATATATTTTGGTTTACATCAGGTTGAGTGTATGATTAGCAGTTAAAATATATTAGGTGATCTTTAAATGGTAACACAAGGGGAAAAGAAACATCTTATTTGGTCTTAACACTGACCAAGCAAAAATTTAGGCTAGAATCAAAAACTATTTGGAGTTATGATTCAATCAAAAAAACTTGAATTTTAGTTTAAAGCTTATCCTCGTGATCACTTTTTCTCTATTTACCTTCAATTTCTTTTCTATTTTTTGCTCCTCTTCTTTTCTTTGGTTTACAATATATAAGAAAGAACAGATGTTGATTTTTTCCACTGACTAGTACAGAACAAAGTGATCTTTAGTTGGCTTATAATTTTCTGATGGTGAAGAGGAGTTTTTCTTTTTAACTGACATTAAGATAAGATACATATGCATAAAAAAGAGTTCAAGAAATATCGAAGGTGTTACAGAGATGTTGAGATTACCAAAGTATCCAGGAAGCCTTGAGAGAAAATATGAAGCGCCTATATCCGGGAACAAACCTAATGCTGTTTCAGGCATAGCAAACACCTGCAAATGGTTAGAAGATATAGAGTTAACCTCGCAAATGAGCCTCCTTATAGGAAAAAAGCAGAGGAAAATTTTGAAACTTATTCCAGTGCGGGTAACACATGCCGTCTATTAGGGCAATGTGATTTTATTCTTCATATACTTCCACACAACATACACATCAAAAAATTCTCCTATTGACTAATAAGAAGTGAGAAACGAACATCAAAATAATTTCATAACACGAGAATATCTAAACATATTATTTGATTAGATCAATATAGAGTTACTTTTATGTAGAATTGTGACTCAGAGATATGAGAATACTAACTATGAATCTCTTCAGTGGTTTTGGTTTCAATTATGAGAAGTACTAGAAAGAAATTTGTAACATGCTTCCAGTGAAGCTTGGATGGATAATAAAGGGTTAAAAACTCAAACCTCTGTTAACCACAAGTGGGAAATCCCTCTTACAATGCAGAAAAGTACATGATTACATGTAAAAGTTGCTTGAACATTACATCTTAAGATGCCTTGAACTTGTCACTTATAGAGAATATGATAATTGATATTAACCCATTAATCACGAATCTAAATCGTTTTCCAGCAAACATCATGTATAAAATCATGAAAGTCCAGGAAAATGACAATGTCATTGATATTCTATATTCATATGAACTCATAAGTTTTAAATTAGAAATAACAGAACGTATAACTTCTTTATTTATATAATCATATTGCATGCTCACTATGTCATACTCTACTCGTATGTGTTGTAACATAAGCATATGGACATCATAACATATTTTTCTCTCCCACTGACGCGACAGGTTCACCCAGACCCGACTTCTAATATTAAGGTCAGACCTAGATAACAAACATCAAAATTTAGTCGGCCCACCTAACCCGAAAACATGATATTAATCCAACTGAGTTAGAGGCATGCCGTTTTATCTATTTTAACCCGAATAATAGGTTCACATATTTTAGACACGAATATAATAGCATGAAACACAATTGTCCTAGTGTTCATAAGTGGTTGGCTTTGTTACCACACAGGCTTTAGAATCGGCTACATGAATCCTGTTCTTCCATTAACTTCAAATAAAGCAACAAACTCAAGACTCGAGAGACAAAGCTTCAATCATATCATGAGTTAACTGATGGAAAAAAAAATCAACAAGTCATTGATACTGTACCGATTTCTCTGTAGCGACTCGAAACTTCCCATGAATTGAAACACCTGCCCCGCCTCCCATTACAATTCCATTAAGAATAGAAACCTTCAGTAATCAAATCAAACACATAATTACATATATAGACAGTCATACTGAAGTATTTAGAAAAGAAGTAGTCATATGAATCACCTGAGGTTTTCTATAAGTTGCAATTATATAGTTCAAGATAAACTCATTCCAGAAAAAGTTTGCACCATTAGTCCAATAACCTGTCACATAAGTAAGTAATACTTAATACCACAAGAATCAAGCTCAAAATTGAACTGTTCAATAAACCATATCAGTACATCAGAAACTAAAACTATTCGATGTACAATTATAGTTGGTGGAGGCATTTCATACAGTGAGAAAGCTAGCCAAAATTCTTTGTATCACAACATTAAGGACATTACATTCCAATTCCAGAAATGAATAAACTAGCATGTACATTTTGTATATAAACAAGTTTTTTGTGATCACGGTACTATATTTGCATTAGTTGCCACTAAAGAACTTCACTCAAGATTGGATGGATGCTAAATAGGTATAAAAAATAATACCTTCAGTAACAGAACGAGCAACTGCTGCTACATCTCCTCCAGCACAAAATGCTCTTCCTTGTCCCTAAAACCAAAGCCCAGAACGAAGACTTAACATGCAAAATCAACAGATAATTATTAACCGCATAAGCTAGTAAGCATGACTAAGGACACGACACAAATATGACAAAGACACGGATGTAACACATCTCAGACAGGATCAGATAGCAAAAGCTCGGAAAGCACGTTTGGACTCAGAGTCAGGCACATGTATGACTGTGTGTGGCAGGGGCGGAGCCAAAGGCACTTCAAGTTTGACAACCTGAAATCTGAAGACCTTTGGTGCCTATTTTAGCCTATAAATGTACATGGCTTTTCATATTCTTTAAAAAAGTAAAAGTTATAATTCATTTTCGTTTAATATAACCATGTTGGGAAATAGCCTCGTATTTCAGGAAATGCTACTTGGACTTGGATTGGCGATTGAATTTAATTGGAAAGAATCAATTACAATTGGAATTAAATTTTAGTTGGAAGAGAATTAAAATTGGTAATCCAAATCAAAAGAGACCTACATGAATTTAAGAGAGGGGAAAACTCTTTAAATATCCTTGAGTGGTTTATCATAAATTTAAACCATAGGAAAGACAATGAGAGTTGCATATTATAAGAGAGAAGTATAGAGAACTAAGGAGAGAGAGATCTTATGGTGAGATTGATAGAAGGCGCTTGTAGAATTTATAGTGATCACAAAAATAGATTGTATCTTGTAAATCTCTAGAATAAAAGAAGACTCAAATTTCTCTCCGTGGACGTAAGCGATTGCCGAACCATGTAAATCTCGTGTCTGTGCTCTTGATCTATTTTCTGTGGCTTATAGATTTCTCTTTTGTTCGAACTAGTTATTTCTTGGAGTTTCCCCTAGCCCGGTGATCGATTAGTCTATGAATAAAGAGGAGATCTAATCAGGTGGTTCAGCGACGCTTTCGCATAGATCGTCAGTTGGTGCACAACGATTGATGTCGGGTTGCGGGTGGCATGCGCAAACAATTGCTATCAGAGTGTCAAGTGATACTACATAAGTGATATCACAACTGATATTAGAGCCAGATTTAGATTAGATCAGATCTGTCTATAAGGAAATGTTTGATCTTGCAATATGGAATCAGAAAGTTCTCTAATGGTGAAAACCGTGACTGAAAAGTTTGATGATAAGAGGGACTTTGGGCTTTGGCGGAAAAGGATGATTCAATACGACCTACATCAAGCCTCGCTAAGAGTGGACAAGAAGCCAAAGAAGATGACGAGTGATGAGTGGAACATGATGGATTGGAAGGCGCTGAGTTCGATTCTACTGTCTCTTTTGTATGAAGTAGGATACCACGTAATCTATAAGAAGACTGCACTTTGTATATAGAAGAAACTCGAGGAATTGTACATGGCCAAAAATGCGTCCACAAACTTGTACTACGTAGCAGTTATATGGACAGCGGATGAAGAAAGGTACAACAATATTAAAGCATCTGAGCAACTTCAACATAGAGTGAACGAGTCAACGGCGAAAAGGTTAAAGATTAATGACGACAAAGCAATAATTTTGTTGAGTTCTCTTCTAGCAAGTTATCAATATCTAAGGACATCCTAACCATAGGCAAAGAGACAACAACTATGGACGAGATCAAAGCGGTGCTCCTCACAGATGATTTTTAGCAGTGACAGGGTGTTGGTGATAATTCGGGTTTGCTGGGTTAGTAGTAAATATGCAAGAGTAGAGATCTTCAAACGGGACAAGTTGGCAGGTTAAGCGGTGCTTCTTCTACCAACAAAAGAATCATGTCAAAAAAGACTGCTACAAACAGCAAGAGTAGTTGAGGGGGAAAGATGGGGATCGGGTGGCCCAATTTTCATATGCATCGGGTATAGAGAAAAATCAACAAGCGGACTTGTTAGCAGTTTTTGAGGACGAAAGTCAACAAGTCACTTAGATAGTTTTCGGGAACACTTCTTGTGAAGATTAGATATTGGATTCTAAAACATTGTCTCATATATGTTCCCAAATAAGCATGTTTGACTCTCTAGTGTAAGGAGTTAACGAGACTGTCCACACGGTGAATGGCACATGGTGCGACGTCGCTTGTATAGGAACAGTCACAGTTCTAGAATGAATGGGGAGTATGGTCGCCTTTAAGAATGTTTTGTTAATCCCGAATGCGAGGGAGAATCTGATATTTATTGGAGTGCTTGGCTCTATGGGGCACCGAATCCAAGTGCGTGAAGAAGTTATCACGGTATACCACGCTAGGAATCCCGTCATAGTTGGGAAGAAATGTATAGATGGCATGTCAGGTGTCTGAGAGAATTGGTGTTCAAGGAGGAGCTTCGTCTTCAAGGAGGTTGTGCGACCACGAGGAAGAGAAGTTGGCAATGAACTTGGATTCCAAGGGAGATCCGAAATGAGAGTTCAACTGCAGGTGAAGGAATTAAGACCAAGTATGTAACAAGTCAACGATCGGGCTTGGAGAGTGCAACAATAGAGGTTGTGTCAAGTCATCAAAAGGCTTGACATCAATACACGAGCGATGATCACTCTAATGCCCTTTGGGAGAGGGGGCTTAAGGTAATTTCTCAAAGGTGTTCATTCTCTACAGTTTTACAATGATTGCAACATAAGGTTACAATGAAGGATCAGCATTTCCGAAGGACGCTTCATACAAGCCTAAGGTGGAGATTGTTGGGAACTAGCCTTGTATTTCAAATAATCCTAGTTGGACTTGGAGTCGGATTGAATTTAATTGGAAAGAATCAATTACACTTGAAATTAAGTTTTAATTGGAAGAGAATTAGGATTGATAATCCAAGTCAAAGGAGTCCTACATGAATTCAAGAGAGGAAAAACCTCTTTATATACCCAATGAGAGGTTTATTGTAAATTAAGCAATGTGAAAGGTAAGGAGAGTTGCATATTGTACGGAGAAGTAGAGAGAACTAAGGAGAGAAATTTAGGGTTTTGAGAGATCTTTTGGTGAGATTGAGAAAGGGTATCTCACGAAATATTTAGAGATCATGAGAATAGATTGCATCTTGTTAATCTCTAAATAAAATAAAACTCAAATCTCTCCCTGTGGACATAGGAGATTGTCTGAAGTCTGAACCACGAAAATCCCATGTTTTTGCTCCTGTTTATTTTCTGTAATTTATAGCTTTCTCTTTTGTTCGAACTAGTTGTTTCTCAAAGTTTCCTCATGGCCTGATGATCGATTGGTCTACGAAGAAAAAGGAGATCTAATCATGTGGTTCAGTAATGCTTCCGCGGGCTATGCTTCTGCATAGATCGTCGGTTGATGTGTAATAATCGATATTGAGTTGCAAGCAACGTGCTTAAACAACTATTATAAATATTAATACAAAGGATAATTTTTATCTTTGACACATAAACTTAGCACAATAAGTTATAACTCTTATCATATTAACTTCAACAACTACTAATTAAAGAAGAAAGCTTTTGGTTAGAAAATAAAAGTAGTGTAATTTTAAAAATTGATTACTACAAATAAATAAATAATTTAAAATTAAATTGTTTGACTTTGAGGAAAAAAGTTTTGCTCTTTTAGTGCACTGCCCGCCCAAAACTCTGGCTCCACTCATCTATGTGTTGGTATGTATGTGTATAAATTAATAGCTAAAATAAAGACTAACCCACCAAACCACAACAACCCCCCCCCCCAGAAAAAAAAAAAAAAAAAAAAAAAAACACAATAGTGCTATGCAGCAATCTATAAGGAAAGAAAGAGAAGCCAGATTAGTAAAGAGCAGGTATGAGTCACATTGCATAATTTAATCTATGCATTATTAAGCATTTAAATAAGGTGTTTGAGACAGTTGTTCTAATTTTACATATTGCAAGATAGGAAGGGTTAAATGAGTTCTCTGCTTTTCAATAAAATATTTATTATAAAAGTTACAACCATTTGCAAATCATGAAGAAAATATAGCTAAATAACTTAATTCTTTCTTTATCAATTTTTAAGTTTCCTCAAACTACGTATAACTACTATATAAGATGAGTTAGACAATAAAATGAAGTTATACTTTTGAAATATATATACATACACGTTCATGTAAAGTTACCAATAAAATTTTAATATTAACCTAATAATTATCAAAATACATGCATCAGATAATCCAGAAGTAATAAAAAATAAAAGATACATGAAAGGCAATATCCACGTGAGAGGATTGTTCTTAAATTTTACCAATCAATAGATTGCTTTATGATTTTCTTGGTGACTACAAGTCACTTCTTTATGCTAAATAAGCTGCCAGCTCATGTCCCTGAGTGTATACCGGATATAAGCTTCCTCATGACATGTATATGAGTGTGTGTGTGTAGGTGTGTGTAGGTATATGTGTAAGTGTAGGTGTAGGCAGAGGTGTAGGTAAGTACGTACCATTTTATCCCGCCCTAACATGCCTAATTTGTCAACCCAGGTTATCTAAGCCCTTTATCTAAGAGGTAATTTCAGCAAAATGAACCCAATTTAAAGCTCCTTAAATTGTAATGAAACTTATCGCAAAGTCGAACTCCGGAGATATGGACATATTTTACAAAGCACAAAGAATAAAAATCATTAGGCAATTAAACCAAGAAATAGAAAAGAAAATAAAAAACATTAGGCTATTAAACCAAGAAACAGAAACATGAAAGCTTGTAGAAGCAAAACAAGCTGAAAGCTATGCATAAATATAAAATTATGTCCTTTATTGACAAAAACTATAACATTACTCATTTGTTCCTTTGATGTTTGTCTACGCAAGGTCTTATTATATCCAACCACATAATGAAATATAGTGGGTCTACACATACAAAAAGTAAGGAGTCGGTAATGTTTGATACAGCATGTTCATCATAAAACATAACACTTATCGTGTCATCCACATAACTGTCCATTACAATGATGATGTTTGCATCTTATCATCTATAGAATAAGAATCAAATACAAACAATCGTAAAGTAGAGAAACAGTACCTTCACGATTAGTAGCTTGACTTTAGGATCCTCTTCATAAGCAATGAAAAGCTTCAGGAGTTTCAGAATCTGGAAAGCTCCTCACAAACATAAGAATGTGAATCACTAACTTTACAAAGAAAGAGACGGAATTGATTCGATGAAGACAAGTGATTAAAGAAAAGCTCTTTGTCTATCTACTTTTTAAGTTCATGAATCTATAGTTATATTTTCCTAATTTCCTCAAACTATACACAATAACTTCACAAAGATTACCATTTCAGAAGTGAGGGCATTCAATTGCCTTGGTCTGTTCAGTGTCAGTATCCTTGCAGTTCCTTTCTCCTCTACCAAAACCTAAGTAAAACACAAAGAATGCAAACATTAGAAGGAACTTAATCTGCTTTCTGATCAAATAAATGGAAAATAATTGGGTTTTATGCCTGCAAAGAGTGAAGTGTAGAATTAGGTTTTGCATATTATTGTGGGATTTGTGTCTGCGGCTCATGATCCCAAAAAAAATGGAGAGAAAAAAAGAAAAAAAAAAGTGTATAAGATTTGATACCTGGTCAGTATCGGTGATGTCGCCTTTAATTTGGGGAGCAGCCATGATCACAGATCAGCAGCTCTCTTGCTATTTTTGTGCCGCTCCTGTTGTTATAAACAAAGGAGGAGAAAATGGAAGGCTCGAAGACGAGAGACCGGTGTCTTTTCTCATCTCGTACATGGGCTTAAGACTTTAGCCCACATTTTGTTTAATTTCTGTAAAGCCCATGAAATATTAACGCTAACTAGAACTTAGTTTTTCCCACTTTGCGCTTACATACTCCCACTTAGTTTTTGGCAAAATCCTTTTTCTTTTTTTCTTTTTTTCTTTTTTTTAGGGGCTGTTTGGTTCGTTTCCTTGATATAGAGAAATGTAATTCCATGTAAAGAAACACAAGTTTTGAGTTTTTTAAACTTTTCTAAGAAATAGATTGTTTTGCTTTGGTTCGCACATAAAAAATGGTGGGAAACCAATGTATTTACTTTTCTTGTGTTTGGTTCGCATAGAAAAAAAAGGAAAACTTTTGTAAACAAAGCAGAGAAGGAAAAAAATCTGACGTGGCAGAGTTTTCATCAATTTCACTTGGTTGGGGAAGGAAATCGGAGAGGGGAAAAAATCTTAGTTGGCGGCGATTTCAGCAGAGTTTTCCCTCTTCCATTCGAGCGAACCAAAGCGGCACAAAGAAATGGACGGAAACAAAAAAGCTGACGTGGAGGGCTAAAAATCTGACGTGGAGGGGTTTTCTGAGTTTTCCACCCCTTATAATAGCGAACCAAACAGCCCCTTAATATCGCAGTTTTTGGCAAATTCTAAACCAGAAGTTTTTAGAATTACCACTTTGATATATTTTTTTTACGCAATTGTGAGAAATTCTCTCAAAAAATATTCTCTCAAAAATACCCTTATCATATGCCGGAAAAAAAATCTACATGATGTTCATATGCTAATTTTAGAACTTCTAAAACATTAAATTTTTATTAAATTTATTATTAAATCTACTTTAATTTTTTAAATTTTATTCTAAAATATAATTGTAATATCTTCAACGTTAGACTTAACAAAAAAATAAGAGTTAAAGGTTCTACAATTAGCATGTGAAACATGAGATATTTAGAATTTTTGGTGAAATACCCTCATATTTCCATAGTTGAAGATACTAAAGGATAAATTTAAAAACTATAAAGAATATAATTCCTTCCAAAGACAAGTGGAGTTATGCAAGTGCAAAGTATGTTGGCCTTCTTGTTTTGATGATGTTTAACAAACAATTTACTTCTAATGTTGTTTGTCTAGTGTTTGTATAATTCTATTTATTGTAGACAAACAACATGTTGGAGGATGGATGGAATTGCGCATCCACGATCATATCCAATGGAAGTTGGCGGAATTGTGGAGTGAAGCCATACAATTCAAGTTAAAGATTCAAGTTCAAGCTTCTTCCGCAAAGTGTACCAAGTCAAGCTATTGAAGATATAATGACCGTAAATTTTTAATACGGGTTTAAATAATTTTTCTGGTATTTAAATATTAAAATTTATTTTTAAAAGAGTATTCGTATTGTTTTTATTTTTTTGAATTGTCTATGATTTAAAAACCCGGTTTTATATTTATTTTAAAGGTTTTGCTAATTATAAATTTAATTGTTTCGGTAAAACTTTTTAAACTAATTAATATTTAATGATTCATTATTGTTATTGTTATTATTTTAACCATAAATTTTTAATATTGATTTGAATAAATTTTCTAGTATTTCAAATATTAAATTATTTTTAAAGGGGTATTTTTCCTACGTTTTCCCTCTCACCGGTATTTCAATCTGTTCCTCTCTCTCCTCTATTATTTCCTCACACTCTCTCTCCCCTACCCCCACCTCCCCAAATCACTCCGTAAGTCCCGCACTCCCACCTACCTCGTGTCTCCCCCACTCTCTTTTTCCTCCTCAAAAATCCCCCATGTAACTCTCTCGTGCTCTCAGCCTCTCAGAGCGAGGCATCTCGTGCTGAGTCTGCTCACAACATCTATGCTGGCACTACCCCCCTCGATCCATTATACACCCAGGTCTCTCCCTTTCGCAGATTCTGTTTTCTCTCTGTGCATCATCACGCGCTCCAAACTCCATCAGCGCCGTCGATCACCCGTGCCGCTGCCCCGCACAGGTCGCACGGTAGGCAGCTGGAGGCAGCAGGCCCTGCTCCACCATCGCCGGGCTGTCGCGTCGTCCGCCGACACCCACTCACGGCGCCGGGACCAGCCGCGACCCACCCGCAGCTCCGCCGAGCCGGCTGCGCCCGAAAAGTGCCGGTCACCAAACGACGCGGCCGACCTCGCTCGCTCGCGGAACCGCGGACCTGCAGGCAGGCCGACCCGAGCTCGCGCCGCCCAGTCGGCCGGTTGCTGGCTCGGTGCGAGGGCTCCTCCTCGACCGGACAGGCCCACCAATGCTCGGCTCCTTTGAACTCCGAGCCACGGGCCCTCAGCAGAGAGTAGCACGTTCGAACCCAAAAGACTCCAAGCTCCAAGTTATCCGCGCTAACCGTCTCGGTCGTGCGCCAGACACCGCCTCTCCGTCCCTGAACCCGCACCGCCGCTCACCGCCCTGAGAACCACCGTGCTCGCCCCCACTGCACCGCCAGACCCCCTCCTGCTGCCCTTGGCCGCCGCCCGAGCTCCAGCTCTCTCCCCCTCCGAGCTCCACTCCAGCGTCCCCTACAACTGCGCCCTCCTCCAAGTCCGACCTGAGCTCATCGCCGTCGACCGCCGCTACCTCCTCTCTTCCTCCTGCAGCCGCGCCTCCCTCAGCAACCTGACCACGACCCCATCTCCTCCATCACCCCCTGAACCAGCCCCGACGACAGCTTCCAAGCTCCCTCGATCACTCCCGATCTCGTCGCCAACAAACGACTCCATCGCACGCCACATGTTCGACGATATGTCAACAGCCCCGTCGCACCCCGTTGAGCCCTCAGTGATGACAACCGTCGTCATTGTCGCCGTCCCCAAACATCGCCGCTCGTCGTCAGGCCATCGACCTCGTAGGCAAGATCCCACTTGCTCAGATTTAAATTTTGTATTTATTATGAATTATCTGTAATTTTAGATCTGATATATTTATCTGCATGGGATTGTTTGATGAATAATATTAGATAAATCGTAATTATGTGATAAATAGTATTTTCAGAATAATTAAGATAAATTAAAAGAATTTATTTCGGCAACGGAATCATTTCTAGATAATTATATTAATTTTAAAGGAATTTATTTTGAGAACGGAAACCTTTTAGATAATTATAATAATTTAAAAAGGAATTATCTTGGAAAAAGAATCTTTTTAGAATAATTATAAATAAATTAAAGGAATTTATTTTGGAAAGGGAATTATTTTAGATTAATTATAATTAGAAGGGAAATTATTTTGTAAGAGGAAATATTAAAAAGAATATTTAAAGAATGTTTTTATAATTATTTAAAAGGAGTTATTTTGGAAAATAGAATTATTTTTGGATAATTATAACAAGAAATAAAGGATTTATTTTGGATAAGGAAATCACTTTGAAGTAAATAAATTTATTAATTTAAAGGATTATTTTTGAATGTGTGATTCTCATTTTAATTATGTGATATACCATGATATCGGTGTGCATGATTGGTTGTACTTATTGTTTCCTATTGTGTTTGAGAACCCCTAGCAGTTCATGACTTAGTGACCTCGTGCGTCATGAACAGACTTAGTGACATGTGTGAGTGTGTTGACTGAGTTTAGGTGGTGAACCCGAGTTAATAGAAATTATGATTGTTGATTTAGACAAACAAGAAGAGTTAGGATGGGGAAGTCCATGTTCATGTGATCGGATATAACTGTTGATATATCTTCCAGGCCTCCCCATGATCCAGTGTAGCTTGGGGTTGGTTTGTTGGGTCAAAGTGGAGCCGGTGTAGCCACTTTGGTCCGTGAGCTTGATATTCACCTGATTCTTGCTTGAGTTCGAACAAGGCCGGAATCGGATTGCGTGTAGCCCTCTGACCGATCCAGTGTAGCGGCGTATTGGGTGCACGTAGAGGATTTGTGAACAGTCAGTTATCCGATGATATGAGTGTTGACTCTATGTGAGATGTGGACCAGTGAGTTGAGATAGTATGGCTAGTTACATGACCTCGATTCTTAGCTAAGTATGATTCTTATGAGATGTAGGTCAGTTGTGTTTCTTTTCATACATAGATCGGGGTTAATATTTGATTATCTACTTTGAGACATATGGTATATACATGAGGGTTTTCTTGTTTGGATTATTTCGCTCGACGTACTACGTCTCGAGTTGTAGATTTTTAAGTATTAAATTCATCTAGTGTATGACCTTGTGACTTGGATGATTAGTCTGATCGTTAGCTGCATGATCTCGTTACCTGATCGATTTTGGATGCTTTATGTCTATCGTGTTTTAGTAGTGAATTTGTATGTTGATTTTGTTGGATTCCCAGTTGCACGTTTCATTGTCATTTATGTTATTGTATCGTTTTCCGCTTGGGTTTTCGTTCGTTCTTTTCTTTTGTGGGGTCTTGCCGTGTGCCATGCACCCTGACGTACACCTGTTTTCTCTGGTGTACGTCAGACTTAGAAGAAGAACAGGTTCAGCTTGGAGTTCATCAGGAGCCAGAGGATTCTCAGCAGGAGCGTCCTGCAGACGGAGCAGAGTTTGTTTTTGTAGCAATTCCTTTCCCGCTTGATCATTGTATTTTATATTCTCCAGTATTTCATTCAGATAGTTTGTATAAGGGCATGTTTGACCCGTATTTTATGTCTCGGATGTTATCCTATTTGTGATATGGTATTTCTTTATTCTGAGTTTGTCTACTATATTTTTGCTGATTGTGATCGGGGACCTGTGACTTCGCATTGTATTTATTTCCATACGCTTAGCGTATTGGATTGAGAAGAAAAGAAAGAAAAAAAATAGTAGTGTATATTTCTTCTCAATCTAATACGTCGCGGGCTTGTTCACGTTCCGATTCTCGGGTATTTTGGGAAGCGGGGCGTGACAGAAGATCAATATCAAGCTTGGGTAATTTAGTTTAGGTTTTATATTATGTGTGTTAGTACTTTAAGCTCAATATTATACACACACATTATATTGGTTTCCATGTATATATAGTTTCATATATACACATAT